CCAAAATATTCATTGGATTGAATTAGACCTGATCCATTTATAATAGACTCACATTAAACTGGATCGGATTAGACTAAATCCAATTCAATTGACACCCCTACCACCAACGGATAAAACACAGCCATATATACTCTACAAAATTATGGCAATTCCTCATAGTGCCTGTTCCTTATTGCCTGCCTCACCAATCCCTGGATTTTTACTTTGAATTGATCTAGTTTGATATTTATTCAAATCTCAACCAAACTGCAATGAACCACCTTATACTTTGGGTGTCAACGGCATCCGAAAAAATCTAAAAAATTGAATTCAAATATAATAATCTGTCAAATTCGGGATATTCTACATGTAATATTTAAACTCAAATAATTTATATAATTATATATTTCATACAAACAAAATATCTTAAATATATATTATTTAAAATAATTAATTGATCAAATTCAAACCGAATTAAAGTATTGATTGATACGATTCGAATCGATCCATTTAAAACCCCTAATCATTGCTTGATGCAACAAATGGGTTGTCTAAGAAGATAGGCAGCTAACATCATAATGTAATTATTGATTAGAACAAGGTGCCGTGGATGGCTTGTCGGTTAGTGTTATTTAAGAACTTCAAACTACAATAATTAATTATGTGAAAATGATTCAGCAAAAAGGCCAAAGGCTTGCAATCTGTCAATCATGAAGAGGAAGAGTGCTTAATCTTGTTTATTGTTGTCTTTTTAGTGCTTAGCAAGCCCGTTGGCTGTAACTGCACCTGGCGCGGGCAAACCCTTTTAAAATAATAAAAATAAAAATAAAACCTGGCGCTGGCAATGAAGATTGGGRCAAGGAATAAAATAAGGATAGTAGAGTTGGATTGGGGCTAATCCTAACCTAAGATGTATTAAGCAACCCAATCCAATCTCAACTCAATTAGGGCCCATTTGGGAGGGCTTCAGCGTTGCTTGAGCTGTATTGAGTGAACAGCTTAGGAGAAAATTGTTTTCTTGGCTCATGAACATGTATTATTTTTGGTTTTTCAGTTTTTCACCAAACATGGCTTGAGGACTCTCCATAGGGTTTAATTTGCACCGCCAGAAGCTCTGCTGAGTGAAAATTCTCTTAAATGGGCACTTAGGCTTTATTTGGCATTCCTTATTTTAAGGATTTATTTATTTTTTTCAGTTAAAATACCCCTATAAACTGAATTTTTTAACTATAAAAAAGAGATAAACCCTTAAAATAAGGAATGCCAAATGCAGCCTAAATGCTTGTTTGTTCCTATGTACACGCTGATTTTGTAATTATGTTTATATGAAAGGGGAAGAGGGAGGATGGCGATGGTGTCTCTGTCAAAGGGAAGGATGCCCATGCCACAAGATTCCAACTCAAACCCAACCTCTCATCAAGGCCATTTCTTGCTTTTAGGGTTTAGAATTTTAATTCAAATCAGAGAGGGCTACGGTTTGAATACATCAAGTTTTGGGCTAGAATTGACCTCAAATCGAGCCAACCAAGTCCAACTTGCACTCTTAAACCCCAAATAAAACCCTATTTTTGACATGCTTCCTGTTAGACAATGTATGCCCTTAGCTTCAATCAGAATGATGTACCTTATGACATTTAATGTAAATGAATAAAGTACATATTTGATTCATGTTATTATGGTGTGTTTCTGTGTAATACCCTTAATCTAGACACATATGAAACTCGTGTTAGTTTAGAATCTTCACAGCCGTTGGATAGATCTAGGGAGATTTATCCTGCTAAGGCTGATACTGATGTGCCACCAAGTTGGTTGGGGTGGCTTGTTGCAGCTGTCAGGGTGAGACCTGAGGTACATGCAGTGTCGGTTTTCTTGAAACCCTGAACCGGACCAGAATTCCAGTATTGTCTTGGACCTTGGAGATAGATGGGCAAAACTGGAATGTTACACCTGACCCCTAGACTCGATTATGATACTGCACTAGGTGTTGGATTGGGCTGTTTTTTATATGCCAATCAGTGAGATTCTTAGAGGGGGTCAAAACCTGGGTATGTTGGGACAGTCCAAGAATTCATCTGAGTGGGTGATCATAGTGATAGGATCAGCCCCTTTGACGGACAAAGTGAATGATTGGGGATGCACTCTCTCTGATGAAAACCAAAACTGTCGACAGTCGATTTCAACCGTTGAAATTTGTTTTGCAAAACATTTTGCAAGAGAGGACCTGTGAGTAGTTCAAAATATTAATATGTTTTCAACCGAGGGAGAGGTACAGTCGATTTCAACACTGTACCTCGCAAACATTTTGCAAACATATTCATAAAATAAAATATGAACTAATAAAATTAAAATATTAATTTATATTAATAATTAATTAACTAATTAATATCAAATTAATAAATAACAATAAAAAAATAAATCGTAAAAATATTATTAGTTAATTAAGAATTAACAACAAAATATTTAAAATTTACTAATTAATTAAATATTTTATAATTAACAATTTAATTAAAAGAAATTAAAAGAAATAATTTATCAATAAAAATAATTTAATAATTTATGTGTAATTAATATTAAAATTTTAAAATTACTAATTAAGTCATTAGTATTAATGAAATATAATATTAATAATAACTTATAAACTAATAAAATATAAAATATTAATTAATTAATTAAGATAATTAATTAAATAATTATTGATTTTAAATAATTAATATCTAATTAATAATAAAATACTAAATAATATAAAAAGTATTATTAACTAATTAATAATTAATAGAAAATAAATAATTAATTAAGTAAGTAAGTAAGTAATGAATAAATAAATAAGGATTTTATTAATAATCTAATTAATGATTTAATAAAAATAATTAAATTATTAAAATGTTGAATAATTAAAAATAACTAATAAAATAAAATTAATAATTATTTCATAATAAATATTAGTAAAATAAATTTTAAAATATTAATTCTTAATAATTAATTAGATATTTATTAATATTATTTAATTACAGAATTAGTTCATTAATATACAAATAATTAATAAATAATAATAATAATATATATAAAATAATAAAAATATTAGTAAATAATTAAGTTATAAGTGTTATTAAGGTTGATTTTCCCACTATTTTCCTTTTGCAACCAAACAATAGAACATGAAAATTTTCCCATACTTTTCTATCCCACAAACCAAACAGAACTTAAGGCTCCGTTTGATTTGTGGGATGGGAATGAGAAAAAGGGAAAATTCCAAAAATATTCATTTTTCTCCCATTTATTTCAATGGAAATAGGGGGATGGGATGAGAAAAAAGTGGGGTGCAAGATCCCAAAATTGTGCAATTGGGGTTGCACCAAAACAGTGCGACCCCAGTGGAAAAACTTGAGAAAACTCGAGTTTCTTCATCCTCATCCTCTGTCCAGCTGTTGCTGCACCACCACTGCTGGGTTTGTCCTTCTACCTTTTGTTGCCACCACCTTCACTTTCTCCTTCCCTTCTGGTAACCACCACCGCTGCTAGTAACCACCGCCGTTGTTGCACCACCGCTTCCCCTCCAAGCATCCAACTCGACGAAGAAGAAAAGTGAGAAACGAGGAGAAATTATATCAGTCACGTGTGCTTGATCGTCGGTGCTTGGTGGGGTGCCAAATGAAATCTGAKTCCCGACAACAAGCAGCGATAGAAGAAGAAGAAGAAGAAGAAAATAAAAGCACGTCGTTCAAATCAGACCCAGATACGAAATGAGCAACCATCAAAAGATGGATCCCAGGGCATTGGCAGGCTTTGTGTCCTCCGTCTTCTCTTAGGGCTTACTTTCCATCTTCCTCTTCCCCTCTGCAACCACCACCAATGCTTTTTCGCTCTCCCGCTTCTTCCTCTGCTACCCTCTTCCCTCTCATTCTCCACCTCCTCAACTCCTCCCATATCCTCACTTCCATCTCCCTCCTCCCGTAAACGAAAAAGACTAGAGCATCCGAGCGGATCGTCGTCGTCAAAGTTAGAAGAGTGTCGCTGCTCAAATTGTGGTTGATTCCTTGTCGAGGATTTTGAGCATTATCGCTGGTTATCGTGGCGACAAAGGGGATTTCGGGAGTCTCAAGTCCTCGTCACTGTATAAGGATGTTGAAGGTGGGTGTTAGGGGGTGCCACTCTATTTCTTCTTCTCTTTCTCTTCCATGGCGGTAGGTTGCGGTTTCTACTTTCTAATTGCAATATAGGCGACAGGTGGAGTTGCGATGGATGTCTGCGTTTTGTTTGATATCTGCGGATTGAACCTCCGAGCAAAACTATCTCTAAAACCGAACCTCTGAGGACTCTACGGATTGATGTTCAGAAGAAATCTCTGGCACCAACAAGTAATTCACCGATTCCAGTTTCATAGGAGGTAGGTCCTTCGAGACTGGCAAGGTGGACTTTATTTTGTGTTGAGTAATTTTCCTACTATTTTCCCATATAAAACTAAATAATGGAAAGTTAAATTTTTACACTTTCCCATCGCATCGCATCCCATCCTTTCCAATCCCACCCAAATCTTCCCACAAACCAAACGGAGCCCAAGGAAAATAGAAAGTTGAGGGAAAGTTGTCAACTGTGAAATTCCTTCGGAACTTTCTATCAACTTTCTCTCTCTCATTTTCTATTAGTTTTGTGATTCTGATTACTGGTAGTTTGAATCTGTGAATCACCAAAATGGGGAACCATGCAAATGGTCTTGTGATTCCGGATCCATAATATCACCTTCAGTTACCAACCAAACCCGTTTTTAAACCACGATTCATGCTGCGAAAGGTGGCTTTTTTTTCCTTTGCGAGAGAGGTCCACGTTTCAATTTTCAATGTTTTTAGTAAAAATAACCTGTTGAGAGTAGAGACGTTTTTCAGCATGTCAAGAGTCGCAACTTTCCCTCGTTTTGAGTTTTATTTTCTGAAGTTTTTGGTTTGTATGTTCGTACTTCAACATTTCTAGTTTTTATGCGACGCTCAAATAAAGTAAAACAGTGACGTATGGCTTAAACACTTGAATGTGGAAATAGAATTTCCTATAAGGACCCAAACACTGAAATCAGTTCCTCTTTTTCAGAATTTTGAATATTTGACACGGAAGACCACATGTTCATACAATTGCCTGAATATCTCGTAAATACCCAACTACATAATTAGCACAGAGGGCCTCTCAGCCTTTTATTTGGGTGGTTCAAACGGGGAGGAATTTCATACAGGGTATCAATCCAGGGATAACTTGGCCAGAGTCAGCGCTAACACTTTTACCCCATTTTCAATATCTTTGATGGAGGCATATTCTTCAGGTTTATGGCTATAACCTGCAAAAGAGAGGCATATATACATGATGGTTAGTTCCAAAACTTGGCTTCATGAATAAGGCTGCATTTGAAAATTGAAATTCCTTATTTTAAGGACTTATTTCCTTTTTGCACTTAAAATGCTCTTATAAACACTAAGCTTTTTAACAGCAAAAATGAGATAAGTCCTTAAAATAAGGAATGCCAAATGCAGCCTAAATACCCTAGCTGACTATGCTTTCCCTATTATTAATTATTAATTATTTTTATATTTACATCCTTCCCACACTACTGATGGTGTTCACTGTCTAGAATGTCTGTATCCATAATGCCTGGTCATCTATGTATTTTCTAGGTACAGAGGAATATCTGCATTTATCAAAGTTTACTTGCATGAATATGGACAAGTACAAAAACAGTCCCTAGAATAGTATCGTCTTTTAAAGGGAAAATATAAGGCCTGAGCCTTGTGTTCAAAGAGGCATATTCCCCACATCCATAAAAAGGACAAAAAAATAAAAAAAGATAAGAGGCATATTCCCCACCATTTTAGGCTCCCAGTTTGGATATCAATGCCACAATTTACCTAATTGAATATGCACGAATTCAGGAAAAATAACTGGTGACTCGTTAAAAAAAAAAAGAAAAGAGATCTGTTTGAATCCATTTTGGGCAGAACCGCAGAATAATATTAATAATATGACTCCACAAGTCTCAGACCAGGCATTTTCATTAGGACAATATTAATATAAGTGCTCTTTTGTGCAGAATATATATAAGTAATTCCAATACATGAAAACCACTATTGAAATATTGCTTGAATGAAAAATAATAATCTAAAATAGAAAACAGATGCATACGCATATGAATGCCAAATATCCATTTAATCCACAACACTAGCCTGTAGCCAGATGCAGAAATCAGTTTTATTTCTCAAAAGAGAAACAAAAGAACTTTTCCAACTGACATTTTTTTCCTTCACCATGCATAATTTTATAGAAATAAATACAGTACTCCGTTTGCTGAGAATAAAATAAATATAGAAGTATAAGGGGGAGGATCAACCTTTGTAACAAGGAATAAAGATCATGCCCATTGGAGATATTCTGCAATGCATACATCATCACAAAATTAGAAGCAAAGTTGTGGTATCCAAAGCCTAAGAAAAGCAATTTCATTCTCTTGTTGAACTAAAGGTTCCAAAGAGAACTGATTTCATAATTTGATGAAAGTCTTAATGGTCTTTAGGAGGCATATAAAACCCTCCTAACATAGCTTCGGCATCTAAAAAATAAGATTTTGTTCCATTTTGGAAAAAGAACGAGGTGATGACACTAGGGGTGACTGCTTCGCTTAATGGTAAAATCTACAGTTGATAAGCATGAGAATGCAGGTTCAAATCTGAAAGCCAGATAGCATTAGTGGGGAAAAAATCTCAAGGATAGATAGCTGGGGCCGAATTTGTGAGAAAAAGGCCATAGGTAGGTCCATACCAGTCCACTCCTTCCAGGAGCACAGACAACTGGGAGAAACATTGGGTAATGTTATGAGGTGATGACATCGTAAAGGAGTTTAGCAAGCATGGTAAGATTGAAAATCAACGACTCTTTTGTCCACTTCTGTTATGTCTTACCTGGCCATGAACAATGAATCATGGTAGGCCCTGCTAATCATCAACTTATGAGTGAGGTTCAGTTCTCGAGATGAATCTTCCATTGCCTTAATTACTGACTCTGCTGACAGGGCTGGAGGATCCTGATTGACAATTTTAAATTCTGACAATTTGACCTTACGGTTCTTAGCTATTGCAATAGCAGATTGATGAATTTTCTCAATTACAATGTTCCTCCGCTTCTCATCAATATCTCGAGTATCTGCCAAGAGGAGTGAAAGATATTACCCTTTAATAATTTGGCATTTGCCACCCAATTTTTTTAGGTAAGGGATAGCACTCACTATATCTGATATATAACAAGTTTCTAATCAGCTTCAGACACACAAACAAAAAATCCATCATAAAGTAAAATCATGTAAGCAATCCCTGTCATATAACATAAACAAGCAATCATCTGATGCAAGTAACTTTTCCGGGAAAAATCCTTTCATCAAGAAGTATACCAATTTCTAGGTGTGACTTGCTTGGGATGCTATTGATTGCACCTGGATGCAGCTCCAATATACCTGACAGAATTAAGGAATACATTAATAAGAATAGAAAAAAAAATCCCTCAAACTTGTCTCAAAATAATCCACATATGGACCCTTTAGGAGTGTGTTTCAGTGTGAATACCAGTAAACACTCGTAAAGATAAACAAGCATCATTAGCAAAGAAAGCAGAGAGTAAAAATAACTGGTCAACTGAAAAAAAAAATGTAGCTCTATGTAAAATACGCCCCACAATTTGAGAACCAGGTCTAAATATGCTCCAGAGAACGGAAGGTACGCAATCTTACCAACAGTACCAACAGTGTCAATTGATCTTGATTCTAAAACATGTTTCTCAACGGATAGTGCTAACTCCGCTGCTGCTAATCCCGCATCATTTCTGCACAGGTTGATGGATAAGAAAAATTATTTTGTTAAAAAAAAAACATAAAATTAATTAAAAGTAATGATACTACCACTAGGAAGGATGAATGAGATTTTTAGCTTTAATGTCTATGGAACAAAATTCAGTAAACCAAGCAAAGTAAAGTTTAAATGTACTAAAGAAAAAAGACCTAGTTGGAATAGCACAGCAAATTACAATTACAATAATAAAGAAAGCAGTTTCTTCCTGAGTAATAAGCAACCAAGGGGATAGCTGGAATAAGGTGTCCAGAAACAAGTGATGGAACTAAGAAAAATGTTAGTATGAATCACCTATTTGGCATTAGGACTGCTCCTGCATGGCCTCCATTGCCTTCAAAATCCACCTTGATACTTGCAGGGGCAGCAATGGCTGTTACGATACCAACAGAAATACCTGGGGCAACAGATAATTCCAGTCAATGTGTTTGAAATTGTGACTTGCAGAAAGGCATTATGAACTTTAAAAGAACCCTACCTTCTTCTTCCAGAATGGGACCCTGCTCTATGTGCAACTCCACAAAAGCAGAATAACTTCCTTTCTTCAAAAAAACACTGGATAAGTCCTCTTGATCATTTGCATACCCAGCATATCTTGCCGCATCATAAAAAGATATATTTTGACCATCAAATGTCTCCTTAAGAGCCTTTGCAAGTTCCTCACTTCCGGCCAATAAGCGGCTGGACATTTAAACAAATGCAAACTATAAGATGCTAGTCTAAATAATGAACTGTGGACATAATCAGTAAATGGTAATATAAGTATTGAAAATTTTGTAGCTAAGATATCAAATCAAGATTTCCATTTGATCAGCCCCATTTCTAGTACCTTGAAGATTACTGAGAAGGTGCAGTCCAGAAGACTTAAAGTATTTGTTATAAGATTGTGGTTGGTCCTGCTCAAAATCAAATGGCATTTGTTGTTGAAGAGAGACATAATTGGATGGAGTATGAGTTTTTAGGGTTATAGATTAAGAAGGGGATAACTAGGATTTGTACAAATATTGACCTTGATAAGGCTAATGATTGTGTTGATAGGAATTTCTTGAAGTTCTTAGTCATATGGAATTTGAGGAGAGGCAGAGGAGTGGATTTTTTTCCTTGTACATCTTTGTTTTCTCTTCAGCATTGGTAAAAAATAAAATAAAATGGTCTTCTATATTCTTTCAAGCTTCCAGAGGCATTTGGAAATGGCATCCACTCTTTCCTTTGCTTTTCATTTTGGTGGTTTATATTCTTGTTAGAATGAAGGAAATTGTGAAAATTGGAGTTTATGGAAGGCTTTCAGGAAGGGTGAATGAACCCATTATTTATGGTCTTCAATATATAGATGATAGTTTTGTATTTTAAAGTATAGATTACGCAAGCCTTTAGTTTAAGAGCTAACCTTGAAACCTTTCAGATTCTTTCTGGTCTCAAGGTGAATTTAAACATCAGTGTGGTGACAGATGTAGGAGATACTAAAGTTGAGTTGCTCAAAGAATGTGAAGAGGATACGTTCTCAAGTATTAAGATATCATCGAGATAACAGAAAACAAACATCACCACTCCTTAACCCTTTCATAAATGTCATCTCCAACTACATCAAAATTACCAAAAGGAAACCTAATAAGAACCCATATATACCCCTTTCCTATCAAATTCCACAAGTCATCTCCACACAGATTCATACTTCTCAAACAAGGAGCATAAAAACTTCTTAAATCTTAGTCCTCTCCTTAGATATCTCTCCAAAAGAGATCCAATCAGCAATCCTTTCTCCTATTAAACCAATAACTCATCACTATCATCCCTTCAAAACATCCCTTTACCACCTCTTACACATCCACCTTCATAGTGGTTTTCTACTCTGCACACTTGATACACTTACAAGATGACTTTTGAACATGTGGATTTAGTGATTTTCATTCTCTCTTCTTCTAATTCCATAATCACTTTTCAACATGTAGATTTAATATATTTCATTCTCTCCTCTTAAATCTTAGTCCTCTCCTTAGATATCTCCCCAAAGGAGCTCCAATCTTAGTCCTCTCCTCTTAAATCTTAGTCCTCATTCTCATCCCTTCAAAGCATCCTTTTACCATCTCCAACACATCCACCTTCATGGTGGTTCTCTATTCTGCACACTTGATGCACTACAAGAAGACTTTTGAACATGTGGATTTAGTATTTTTCATTCTCTCCTCTTCTAACTCAATAAACACTTTCTTGGCATTTTCCTCACCTCCTAAGATGAATGACCAACCCCCAATTTCTTATCAACCTCTGTTTCTTCATCAACCACCTCGTTGATATCCATTTTCTTACCCACCCTAACAACTACACCTCACAATCCCCTGCATTTTTTTTTTCTTTGTGTGTGTGTGTTGAAAGGTATCATGAAAATTCATGGCATGTTTACTGGTTATACTAAATTTTTAGTGGGTGACGGATCTAGGGGGAGGTTATGGGAGGATAAATGATGTGAAAAAATGAGGAGCAGATCAACTAAATTTAATCCCAATGCATGGGCTCTTCTTAGATGTCTTTTGTTGGATAATGAGTTGGAAGAATGTACCAATCTTCTTCGCAGGCTGGAATTGGCTAAAATTAATCCCAGTGCAGTTGATACTAAATGATGGAAAGAGTGTATTGATGGGTGTTTTATTGTTGAGTGCTTTTATGATGCAATCATAAGAAATTGGGTGAAGAAATTTTAACTGAAAGGATTTTGGGATAATCCAGTACCCCCCCCCCCTCCCAATAGAAGAAACATTTGCATGGCTACTATCTTTAGACATTATTTTGACACTTGAATGACTTGATAACCTCAATTCTAGGAGTCTCCACATGACAAGTTTGTGTTTCATGAGTTGATGTGCAACAGATATGAAGATGTTTGGCACTTGTTCACAATATTTTAAAAGCACAAGGGCCTTTTGGCACCCAAGGCACAAGGCACAAGGTGGGATTTGTATTTTCTCAAAGAAGGCTTTGATTTTTTGTGAAAAAAATAAAAACAAAAACATATGTACAAATACAAACCTGAAATTTAGAAGAAATTAGATGTTACAAAAATGCCTATTGGTTCATATTTAAATACAGAAGTATAACAAACAAAACATATTCAAAATGAAAAAGTGGAAGTGAGAGTAACATATGTGGATCGGACCTAAGAGCTTGAAGCACTCAACAAGTCAAGCATGTAAAACTTTCAATCTTTATCTATATCCTAATTACATTACTTCAAGCAACTAGTGTGATGTTAAACAGCCTGCATTCCTAATGAGGCAAGCCCAAATAAGTCCATGCAAGGGGTTTGGGGTTGCAGCACCACCCTAACTTTTTGGCCAACATATATTGCAGAAACTAGGGTTTCAAGAGAGAGGAAGAAGAGAAGAAAAGAGAAGAAGAAAGGGAAGAAGAGAGTTGTCGAGAGGTGTGTGTGTGTGTGTGTATCACTGTTCACACCCTCAAAAGAATACATTATAATCTGAGAAAATAATAATTACAAGAAGGCCCCTATATGGGTGCCCAAATACTGAGAGAGTATAAGAAAGGAGAAAAAAACCAAAAACACCCCTGTCTAGCCATTCTCAACACTCTCCCTCAAGCTGAGCATATATGTCAATCATGCCTAGCTTGGCAAGGTTCTTAGCAAACTTTGGATGGTGAACACCTTTAGTGAGGCAATCAGCTAGTTGGTCTTCTRACCTTACAAAAGGAAGGCAAATCTCTCCGTTAGCAATTCTTTCTCTAATAAAGTGTCTATCCACCTCAATATGCTTTGTACGATCATGTTGGACAGGATTGTGAACAATATTTGTGGATGCTTGATTGTCACAATATAGTCTCATTGGAACATCTGCTCGAATGTCCATCTCAGTCAATAAGGTCTTCAACCAGAATAGTTCAAACACTCCATGAGCCATTGCCCTGTACTCTACCTCAGCACTAGAACGAGCAACCACAAATTGTTTCTTACTTCTCTAGGAAACCACATTGCCTCCAATTGAGGCACAATAACCAAATGTATATCTTCTATCATCAATGGACCCTACCCAATTAGCATCTGTGTAAGCCTCAATCTTTAGATGGTCGTGGTTGGAATACAACATCCCTTTCTTGGATCTTGCAACTTCAATACCAAGAAAGTATCAGAGATCACCAAGGTCCTTAATCTCAAATTCAGAAGCAAGGAATGACTTTAACTGAGAGATACCTATGATATCATCACCAGTCACAACAATGTCATCAACATATACTATCAACATTGTTACTCTACCATCAACTCTTCTAATAAATAAGGTGTGGTTAGCTTGAGATTGAGAAAAACCAATCTTTAAGATGGCATTCCTGAACCTGTCAAACCATGTTCTTGGAGATTGTTTTAGCGCATACAAAGATTTCTTCAAACAACACACTTTTCCATCACTGTTAGGAAAACTTACCCCAAGTGGTAAGTCCATATACACTTCCACTTGTAAGTCCCCATTAAGGAAGGTATTCTTTACATCCATTTGATATAAAAGCCATGAGTAATGGGCGACAAGAGACATGATCACACGAACAGAGTTCATTTTAGCAACTGGAGCAAAAGTTTCCAGATAATCAATGCCATAAGTCTGAGTGTATCCTTTGGCTACAAGTCGAGCTTTGTATCTTTCAATTGAGCCATCTGCCTTGTGCTTAACAGTATAAACCCACTTACACCTAACAGGAATCTTATCTTTGGGGCAAGGAACAACCTCCCAAGTCGGGTTCTTTATTAGGACCTCCACTTCTTGGTTCATAGCTTCCTTCCAATAGGGGCACTGCATTGCCTCTATAACACTGTGAGGGATGGAAACATAAGAGATAGCAGAAATATGGGCACAATAGGAAGGTGAAAGAGCATCATAAGACACATAGTTAGTAATAGGATACTTTCTACATGTCCTCTTCCCTTTTCTAATGTAAATAGGAAGATCAAGGTTAGAATCAATAATAGGATTGTCAGGAGGTTCAAGATTACCTGAGTCCGGGGAATCAGATTGTGAAGGGCATTCTGCTTCAAGAGCCACCCTCTTACTACACCTGATGAAAAACTGCTGCCAGGACTGAGGTCGATACAAAGGAGGAGGAAGAGAAGGAATAGATGTAGGAAGAGAGGAAGGAATAGAGGTAGGAATAGGAAGGCAGAAGGGAGTCCGATCTTCACTTGCATTCTCCCATTGAAGAGAAGGATGGGGTGACTGGAAAAAGGAAGAGGATTCCAAAAAGGTAACATCCTTAGAGACATATCTCTTGCCAGAGAGAGCATCAAAGCATCTATAGCCTTTTTGGATTGGAGAGTAACCAAGGAATACACACTTAACTGATTTAGGATCAAGCTTGCGCCGAGAAGGACTCGTATCATGAACAAAACAAACACAACCAAAGACCTTAAGGGGTAGATTAAAAGAAGGTTCATCAAGGAAGAGTAGTTGACGAGGAGAATGAAGGTTAAGGACCCTTGGTGGAAGTCTATTAATGAGATATACAGCTGTCTCAACAGCATCACCCCAGAAATGAGTTGGAACATGAGTTTGGAACAATAAGCCTCGAGCAACTTCAACCACATGCCTATTTTTTCTTTCAACCACCCCATTTTGTTGTGGAGTATGATTACATGAACTTTGGTGAATAGTGCCCCTATCTTCAAGAATCTATGCAAGTGATGT